AGCAGTTATCAACGGGTTCCAAGCCCCCAGCGCCAGTCGCCCACCCGCCCCGCCCTCAACTTCGCCAGTCCTCACGCGGTCCCGCCCCAAAAACACATTCTCCCGCCGGCGTCCCGTCAGCTCACTTCAACCGGCGCAATGAAAGTAACACTCAGGATACGTCATTAAACCTGCAAAGCCTATACACATATCTTTCAGAGGCATGGCTGACTTCTAAATCGTGATTACAATGGAATTCCACTGTTTCTTTATTAAAGAACGTGAAGATTTAATGAGTGAGATTATCAAACAATGATCTATACATCAACAGAATATTACAAATAACATAAATACTTGATATTGTCTTTAGATTGAAAAGATTTTCAACAAAAACTATGAGTTTCATTTTGTGACTTACTGACCAAATGTTTTAAAAAAATCATGAAAAATACATAAATTATCCAAAAATTACCAAAATATTCTCACATGGCAGTGTTAACATGCGGAATAATATGATGTTGTTTTTAAATCAGTAGACTCAAAGCTTTTTTGAAGAAAAATTGGGAAATATAACTATAAAGGTCCCAACAAAAATTAAAATATTCATAAAAAAATAGTGCTACTTTCTAAAATTAGGAGAAAAATCTCAGATCACCATAGGTACATGTGGAATGTTGTAAATGGCTTATATTTACTGTATACCTAAAAAGCTTTCTAACAAAAAATAATTACGTTGTTGTCCAACTATACAGAAAAAAACTGGTAAAAAGTTAAAAATTCATTAAAAATCTATGCTTTTGTACAGAAATCTCAAAATATTCCCAGCTTGCCTCTGTGATGTGAGAATTCTTCTTATATTTTTGTTGGGGTCATAAATGTAAAACTGTACTTACAATAAAATAATATTTGCATTAGTGGCTGTGGACAAAAATATGTCCTATAATTAAACACTAGGGGGAGCTCAAATCAAGACGACATTTTTATTGTTTCATAAACCACCTAAGAGTGAACTTTGTGCCAAATTACAAGAAGATTGTGAGAATAGAATTTGCGCTACAATTGCTAGCCTAAAAATGCATTTTCATGAATATAAAGCACAAACCTCTTCGTGGAGCTGCGGCTTTCGTGACATAAGCTCTAGCCTATCCAGTTAACACAATCTGGAAATCTTAGCCTCTTACATGCAAATAGTGATTTTTAGGAAATTTTTCAAATTTGAAATTTTAAATGATCATAAACCGCGCCCACTTTGATCAATCATTACCATATTGATAATGTAGTCTTAAGACTCTATAGTGATGACAGCCACTAAGTTTCGTGCAGATCCATTTAGCCGGTTCAGCAGTATAATTTATTCCCAGTTATAGCGCCCCCTATTGTTTAATCAAGTTGAAAACCAGGACATACACTTGAATTGACCTTAGGTATGACTGTTATGAACAGCTTTAAAAAATGTCAAAATCTTTTTAAGTTACGCTAAAAAAACTTTTTCATTCCCAAAAAATTATTTTAAAAAATCATATTAAAAAAAATAAGCAAATTATCCCAAATCCCTTCACATCTTTTGGTCAGCCGCTCCTCCTCTCTTGTCAGGGAAAGTTGTGATGTGATTGAGTTTGACGGCCGGGAGGAGTTAACGAAAGTACGTTGGACTTACTATGCAAATTTCTACTAATTTGCATAAGTTTAAAACATTTTTTTAAATACTCATCTAAATTTGACTGACTCATTGAACACACTGGATGAGATCAATTGTTTTTTTACGAAAGAAATGGGGAGAAACATGCCAAAAATATGTTTGGGGTACCACAGCGCCACCTATTGGACAAAATTCAAAACATTTTCTGTGATTGTAGATGTCACTATGACTGATATGAATTGTAATTTTCTGTATAGAATATGTATTTTTCATGAGTAAAAGGGCGAAAATTTTTAAAGCCTATAAGCCACGCCCACTTTTTAATCATTTTCAAAATATAGCTTAAGGGTCTGATGATTAACATATGTGCCAAGTTCTGTGGAAATCCATCAAGCCGTTTAGCTGAAACAAACTTTTTGACTCTTTAGCGCCCCCTATTGGTGAATCCAAACAAAATGGGGTAGATAGGGCTTACCGCTCATACTTCATAAGGGTCTAGAGTCTCATCAATTTATCTTGAGAAATGGTCAAGATATCATCAATTACCACATGTGCTAGCTAGCGCGCTGATTTTGACATGGTGTCATTAGCCCAATTTTCAATATTTCTGCATTTTTCTTCATCACAACAACTTACCTTAGTCCATAGATCACATGTACGAAGTTTGAAGTTGATTCGACGAAAAATGACGAATAGGTGATTAAAAGTAAGTTTTGCGTTTTTTGCGATCTAGCAAAAAATCTAGTTAGGCGGAAATGGGCGTGGCCAATACAAACGACGTGCAGAATTATCCAAGGATCATGTACATATAAAGTTTTTGACTGTAGGACCTATGGTTTGGGAGCTAGTAGCTGAAACGTATTCACCTCCGCAATAGCGCCACCTAGGTGACTCGGGGTCCAAATTTTCGAATCTGAGTAGCGGTCAGGATTTTGTATCAGACTGCCATGTCAGATTTTTCCTGGCAATTTCTGGCTCTTGCCCCCATAGAGACATAGCGGAGAAGAATAATGAATAAATAAATAATGAAAAATCCGTAGAAAAACAATAGGGTTCCCTGCCCTTTGGGCTTGGAACCCTAATAAAGTTCAGGCGTGACATTAAAAGCAGAAGCTTTGATGCTCCACCTGAGAGTAAATCTGTAAGGCTTGTTACCAGCATTCGGACATCAATTCTGTTTGCTTCACAGCCAGACAGGACATGGTTAAATAAATAAATAAATAAAACAAGCTAACGCTAACGCAAGCCAACTGATCCTAAATGAGCCGTGAAGTAGAAAGATCCACACAGTTGGACAAATATATTACTTACAAGTCCAGTAGCAACAACGCCAGGTCACAATCAGTCCGTGATTTTTGTAGCCTTCGTTAGCTCCCTCAAACTAGCGTAGGTCGCGCCATTGTTCACTCTGGTTTTAGCTCTTTGCTTTGCCTCTAAAGACATTACTCTCTTACTTTTACTTCCAGGCTCCACCATGATGCCAACAGAAAAAGCAAAAATTTTCTTCTTGCGCTTTTTATTGACTGTTAGTGAACCGAGAAAGCTAACTGCTAGCCTTTATAAAAGCTACAGACACAGAAAACCGCTATTGCCGTAAAGCAGGTAGAGACCAAAAACAATGAACAAAAGCTAACTACAGTTTCTGGTCAGCAGAGAGCTGTTGTCCCGTGTGAAGCTGCTCAGGTTTGTGACTCAAGAATCCCTGAAACCAGTTTGAAAGCAATAGCTTAAAGTGTTACGTCGACTGGTACCACTAAACTTAGTTGCTTCAGTGTAAAGAGTAATATACGTTTAAACACAACATATAACAGCATATAACGATGTAAATTACTCTTAAGATTTAGCAACTGGGTTTTCACTCAAGCAAAAATAAAATCTAAGTTTAAACACAATCTAAGCAGTCAGACTTCTTGAAGATGTGCTTGCACCTACTTGTGCAATAATTTCCTGGTGCTGTCAGGAGGAGCCTCTTTAATTAGTTAGAACCATTGAAGTCATAACACCTCCCCTACCTTGTAACCTCCTCCTCTCACTTCTCTATATTTATCCCTCTGCTTCAGCTCTAGGGACTCCTCTGCGTGCGTGTTCAAGCATCCCATCCCTTATGTGCACGTGTCTCTTTGCACATGATGTTTCAGTGCAGAGTGCACTCAGCGAGTGCATGTTGGAGTGGGTCTGTGGAGCTCCTGGCATGCATGAGCAGGATAAAATATTCAGGTGACACTCCAGACGCCCTGGTTCTGGAAATCCCTCCTGTTTTCCGCCCGTTTGTGCTGTTAGGATGCTGGGAGCTTCAGGCCACACTTCCGTCGGCATTCCCGCTCGTTTTGCAGCAGTTTGGTTCAAATGAAAGCGTGCAGGAGTTGCAGACGGGACACAGGTTTATCCTGAACGATGACTGCTCAGATAGAAGCAGAGGATGTAGCCCACAGGCTTCAGAGCACTTTGTGCATTATAAATCAGCCTCTTTGGTGTTTTTTTTTTCCTTATTCCTTCCTGACTTAAAGTTGATGCAAAAAATATATATATCAAAGGCATCAGCTCTTCCTTTAACCTGAACTGGATTCAATTCCAGCTGAATAACAAATGCAAGAAAAAAAGTGATTAATGCAGGCTGCAAGTGCTCAGAATGAAACGGCCGTAGTGTCGCTGCAGCTAAATGAAATGCTGAGTGGCTGTAGAGGTGGCTGACATGGCTGGAAAAAGTATGAAGAGCTGCATATTAAAAAGTGAAAACGTGACTAATAAAGGGCTCTTTTGGGTGTTGCAACTAATGAAGAGTTGGTAGGTTTTCCAACGTAAGTTTCAGTTATGAAAAGTGTTTAATTTTTCATGTTTTGCAATCAGGCCAGAAGTGGAATTCCCTGCAGCTTTCCCCTGAAACACGAGGCCGCAGGAAACAGTTGTAACAGATGTAGACAAAAGCATAGATGTTATGGTATTTTATTTTATTTAAGTGATGCAAATGTTACAAAGTTTATTCTTTTGTTTATTCTATTCGTGTAAAATGTTAAAGAGGATGAATTTAAAGGGGTAGTAGAATGTAAAGCTACATTTAGGCAGCTTGGGTTGTTAAATGCACCATACCAAAAACTCTGAGGCGCAGCTGTTATACGTTATATTTGTAAATTGGTCATCTAGAAAAGGTGAGGAAGAGATGGTCTGTTCTAGAATAACTTCATGATAACACGTAATGAGCAAGCTACTCCTGCTTCCGTATGTCCTCACCCACTTCAGCAATGCTAACGCTGCTAATGCTAGTGTGGATATAAAGAAAACAAAGTACACTGAAGCACAAACTTTCTTGTTTGTCTGTTAACTCCTCCACAAGCCATGGGAGTCACTCATCTGATTAAAAACCTGATGTTTGTTGTTCTGACAGCACCACCCAGGGCTGGAGGACATCAGTCCCAATGAGGAGGTGACAGACACAGAGGACAATGAGGAGGAGGACCTGGGCGTCCTGGACGACCAGCGGAGCATCATCCTTCACCTTTTGTCCCAACTCAAACTGGGGATGGACCTGACGCGGGTAAGAGGCAAACCGTCTCCATCACAGGTGACGCCAGAGAGAGTGGAAGATAAATGTTTTATCTTCTTCATAGGTGGTGCTGCCCACATTCATTTTGGAGAAGCGCTCGTTGCTTGAGATGTATGCCAACTTCATGGCCCACCCCGACATGTTCCTGTCCATCACAGCCGGGGCCACAGCCGAGGACCGAATCGTCCGATTTGTGGAGTACTACCTGACTGCTTTCCACGAGGGGCGGAAAGGCGCCGTCGCCAAGAAACCTTACAACCCAGTTCTGGGGGAGACATTCCACTGCTCGTGGGAAGTACCACGAGATAAAGTGAAACCTTTGGTCAGGCCCAACCAGGGGACTCCAGGGAAGAGCTCCAACAACGCCCAGCAGGGAGAGGACTCAGCAGGGGGCTGCTACAGGGTCCGCTTTGTGGCAGAGCAGGTTTCCCATCATCCTCCAGTGTCTGGATTTTACTGTGAGTGTCGGGAGCGAGGGATGTGCGTCAACGCCCACGTCTGGACCAAGAGCAAGTTCATGGGCATGTCCATAGGAGTGTCCATGGTGGGGGAAGGTGAGTCAGTCCACCTTAAAACACAACATCCTCCTTAAACTGAAACAAAAAAAGTTTCCATCTTATTTAGTTTTGTGAAATAGTCTTAATAAATGAAAATTTAAAAACAAAATATCAGATTTTATGTGAATTTGACAATACATTTTCAATCAAGTGACTCTTATTTTGAAACTACAAAATGGGAAGTGATGTTGCCGGACCTCAAGCTTTATTTTCCCCCAGTAACCTTCACACCAGTGGATTCTGTTGCTACAGCTTTTTAAACAGTTTTGTGTAACAATAAAGGGATATTCCACCCAAAAAGGAGATTTTGTCTGTTGACATGTTTCCCAGCGTTTAGATAAGTGGGAAAAACTATTTTTAACGAGCCCAGTCATTCCCCGGACCCAGCTGTACTCCTTTAGCTTAGCATAAAACACAGTAGGTCAATAGATCCAGCTAGCATTGTGAGTAAAAACATCCTTAAAGTCACTCAGTAATGATCCCAGTTCTGCTTGGTGACCTAAAAAAACGAGTCATGCCTAATACCACTCACATAAACATCCTATTATTGCTAAAGTACAAGTAATGTTTTTGGTATGCTCCTGCTCAGATCGTAACTGCTGATGTATCTCCTCAGCCTTCATCAGGTTCTGCAGGAGCTGCTTATCACTCGTGTTAATTAGATCTGTGGGGTTGAAGCAGAGGAACTTCTAAAGCCACCACTACAACAATAGGCCGATGTAGCATTGGGTTGTTTTAATAGACTACTACTTTATATCATAGAACCGAGTCAGTTAAGCATATTTAAGTTACTTCGTACCCCAACTTTAAATCTGCTCCTGCAACAGTTTTAATTACAAGCAGATGTTCTATATCTGAAGTTGAAACACAAAAAGGAAACAATCCCACTCTGAATGTCCTCTCCCTCTCATCAGGGGTCTTGTGTCTCCTGGAACACGATGAAGAGTACGTCTTCACGCTGCCCTGCGCCTACGCCCGCTCCATCCTCACCGTTCCCTGGGTGGAGCTCGGAGGCAAGGTCTCCATCAACTGCGTGAAGAGCGGCTACTCGGCCGCGGTGACATTTCACACAAAGCCTTTCTACGGAGGGAAGGTGCACAGGTCAGCGTTGTTTCTTCACCCTCACAGCAGCTGCATGAATTGATGGTCTTTAATTCTTTATTATTGGAGGTTTTGCTGTAGAAGGTTGCTTATTTTAACAAACCTTCCCTCAAAAATCTCAAATTTGACAAATAGGCATTTCTGTAATATTTACAAATGCTACTTTAAAATAATTTAAACTAGTTGTAACTTGTATT